CTTGTTATTTATTTTGATGTTTTTTTTAAAAAATTACTTTCAAATTTGTGGATGAAATTAAAAAAAGTAAACAATGACAATTTTGTAAGAAATCACTTGAAACCAAAACGAAACCCCCAAAAAAACCAAAAAATGAAAAAAAAGAAAAGAAGAGAGGACTTTTAATTGTATGCCCCAAACAAATGAAATAGAGTCATTGTATTTGTCTATTCAAAGAGATACACCTACAAATATATCACTTGGCCATTGGGCACACATTCCATTGATGAATTTAGGGTGTGATTTCTTTAAAAAATTTAATAATTTTGATATGCCATTTACTTTTTACAATCCTGCTAGATAGTTTAAATTTACTGTGGCTCAAATGGCTCGAGGTGCCAAAAAGACATCGTTTTGGCTTTTTTTCTTTTTTCTTTTTTTCCTTCGCTTCTTCCATCTTCTTCCTTCCCCCTTTGCTGTGCTTTGTTTTGCTCTTTGAAAAAATCAAAATCAAAATCAAAAAAATCAATAAAACAAACCAAATCTACACAAATCAAAATAAAAAAAAACAAACCCAGAGCAACAGAGGGAGGAGGAGGAGGAGGAGGAGGAGGAAAAAGAGAAAGAAAGAAGAAGAAAAGAAATAAAAAGAACAAAGAAGAACAAAAAAAGAAGCCTATCGTCGCCATCATCATCCGTTGCTCTGTGTGTATACCCAGCCCATCATCACCATCACCGTTGCTCTCCGTCGCTCATTGCCTCCCTCCAACTCATCGTCTCTTTTCCTCCCTCTTCTCTCTTTCTTCTCCCTTCTCTCCTCTCTTCCCTCTCCTCCCTGTTTCAGAGAGAAAAGAGAGGAAAAGGCGGGGGGCGGGGGAATTCAAAACGACGTCGTTTTGAATTTCAGACCAGTCGAGCCTCCAAGTTTTCAAACTAACAAGCTTTATTCTATTTTTTATTTTATATCAGAGGTTATATCATTAAACACAAGAAGCACCGGGGCATTAGGTATTCAACTGATACCAAAAACAAGCACTTAAACTTCATGCTTACACTGATAAATTACACCAGAAAGATATGTGCAACATTTGATTGGACCACACCAAAAAAACAAAAACCTATGCCACCAAAAACTGTAACTTTCTTCAAATTACACCGAGCAACTTGACAAATGTAAATAAACAACACGAAATTGAATCCCAGGTTACCAAAATCATTTCAAACTAAGCGCGAATGAGACTTTTGGCCGGGATTTGTTCTTACCCAACACTTTAGTCTGGTTTGTGCGTTCTTCTTCCTCTTGCTGCTTCTTCCTTCGCATGGCCTCTTTTTTTTGTCTTTGAAGCTCTTCCAGTTCTCTGTATCGTTCCTCCTCCCTCCGTTGCTGCTCTAATGCTTCTCTCATCTGAGCTTCTTGCACCTTCCTCCTGTTCTCTTCAAGCATCCTCTCTAGCTCTTCTTTCTCTTTTCGAGCTTGTTCCTGCATGGCAAATTCCAATTATTTTTTATAGCGACCCCGGTCTTTTCCCATTTGATTATTGTATCCAGACTTGGGTTCCGTTTATTCTGTCATTGTATATTTGTTGTTGTCGTCCTTTATTTTCTCATTTGGAGTTATAGGATGTGTTGGGCAGGTTTGTTTCAAGTTGGTTGGGTTCGTAAACCAAGTATTGCTGTCCAGTTTTTGGGTTGGTTGCTCGAGCCAGGATTTGGTCGCTCGAGCGAGGTTTGTTTTTGTGTCTTCTGGCTCGATCCAGATTTTCTTCGCTCGAGCGAGCGACTGTTATTCGCTCGAGCGAGATTTTCTTCGCTCGAGCGAGCGAGGTGTATGTTTTCGAGTTCCTTGCTCGAGCGAGCATTCTGTCGCTCGAGCGTGCTCCAGGGTTGCAGACCTGAAGCATTGCATTCTTGGCTCGAGCGAGCTTTTCTTCGCTCGAGCGAGGTTTTCGTGTGTCTGGTCGCTCGAGCGACCAAGTCTTCGCTCGAGCGAGCCTGTCAGGTTTAAATAGGCAGCAGCGTGTTTCAGATCAGTTTTTCATACACTTTCAGATTCCAAAACCCTAGTTACGAGTTCTCTCTCCCTCTACACCCCTTCTCTCTTAGGATTGATGTACTTAGAGTGAGTTTCTACCTTAGATCCTTTATTAAAAAGATAGAGTGAGTAGAAGGCTTCCATTTAATCTGAACATTTAGTGATTTGGAGCACATTGAAATTTGGGTATTCATCTCTGTCTTCTCCATTCGGGTTATTTTCTTCGAGGTAGGGATTTCCTACTCCATCTTATAAGTTTTGTTCTAAGTTTTAGTATTTTGATATGTTGGGGGTACTTTGGTAATTTTGGGAAAAACCCTAGTTGTATTAGTAAATTAATTTGTATAATTAATTTAAGGAAATTGGGGAAATATGGTTAAATTCATGGAATTGGGGAATTCATTGATTAAATGGCGTAGTTGGATAATTAAAATCATTCGCCTATTGAATTGTTGATATATTTATTTTCAGTTTAGAAATAACTGTTTTGGGCTATCGGTGGAGGATAGCCGTGTTTGTTGTAGACACTGCATGTGGATTAGGGATAACTGAAACTAATCATTGATTAAGTCATCAATTTTGATTGCTGAATTAATACATACATTTTTTTTGGGTGGGTAAGTCATAAATTAAAGACAAAAAACTTACACATTTACAAGGGGCATACCCCAGGTAATACAATAAAACCTCACGCCCCCCAAATGTGGGGGGACTAAAGCAAATAAAAAAAAACTAATTATAAACAAATACTACAAAAAAAATAATCCTGCGGGTCAAACAAGGGGCCCACCGCCACTACCAAACAATACCTAGCCCAAGCAAACAAATCAACAAAATGCCCACTGAAATGGAGGCCAGTCCAAGTGCTTCTCACCGATTTAACCATTCAAACCCACTTAATCAAAAAGCCCAGCTAATATATAAATATATATTAAATATATATATATATATATATAAAGATGACCACGGTCCCCACTTCCCTATGTGCTGCCGAAAAAGAGACCCACGTGTGGTCCTTGATCAGAACAAAACATGGGTGATTTTGAAGACTATCTTTAGTTATTTGTTTTTATTTGATAAACATTCAAGCCTAGGGCTTTATTTGTATTTGAGTTAGAACTCATATTTTTGTGTCCAAGTGTTGGCTTGGAAAGATGTAAGCCCATAGGGCATTTAATTTGATATTACATGTAATGTTTTCATTTAGTAATACTCTGATGAATGAGATAATGAATTGTTTTCTTTTAATATTGCATGCCAATGATATATATATAATGGGTTTATTTCGAGGGCGTGACATTTTTCGTGCATTGCCGAAGTTAAAATTGAAAATCAAGAAATAACAACTAGTGAACATTTTTGTTACCTAAGCTTGGTTATTAATGAGGATGGTGAGGTTAGAATCAAAATAAGAGGATGGTGAGGTTAGAGCTAATGTCATCCATAGAATCAAAATAAGTTGGCTCGAGTAGAGGTGTGCATCTGGCTTATTATTGGATTGATGAATACCAACAACATTGAAATAATTTTTTTATAGAATAAGTATGAAGCTAAATATGCTTTACAGGACAGAATGTTGGGCAATTAAAAATAGCATTTTCATAAAATGAGTAGCTAAGATGAGAATGTCTAGATAGATGTGCGGTACAGATAAGAAGGATAGAATTAGAAATGAATATATTATCTGTGTAATGTTAAGAGTAGTATCACTTGAAGATAGTTGAGAGAGAACAAATTAAGTCATTTTTCAAATCTTTGGTCTCTATATTAGCAAGATGTTTGATCATAAGGTTTGTCAAGTCGTTTTCTTGTTCTAAATTAGTCTAAATCTTCATTGAATTAAAAATCCTTTGTAGAATGCCAATTCCCCGAGTTGAAAATGTCTATATTTTTGGTTAACTTTTTTTGGGTGGATATATATATTTTTTTTTTGGTTAACTAAGCATCTTTGTAGGCAATCCTTTTGCAGAGACAACTAAAACAAGTTGAATAATATAACTTGCAGATTTTACCCTTTTTAATGATTAAACTCTTAAAACTTCCCCACGTGAAACTCTCCGAAAGCATCACTGAGATTTTAAGGATTGCTTACTCTCTTCACTTTTCCCTTGCTGTTAAAAAATTCTAACAGGTCATACTCTTTACTATTAGGCAAAAATGGTGTTTAGACTTCAACCAATTCAAAGCCAAAAATATCCTTAAACCTAAACTTACATTCTCAATGATAAACCCTACAAATTTAAGAATTAGCAAACCATTCTTGGATCCTAGCCAGCTTATCCATCACATGAGGCTCTGCCCTACAGGCTACATCATATTTCCACTGAGAACAGAATCAACTAGAGGATACAAAAAGAGAGTTACTTAGTAATAGTTTCCTAAGATCATAAAACATCATGAAATAGCAATAACAAAGCTAATGGAAATGTGCCTTTGTACGTTTTCATTACATGCATCACAAATTTACAAATCTTCCTGTTTGCTATTTTGATTTTGATGGCCAAAACACTATGGCCTTGTTTGGGAAGTTGGCTATTTTAGTTGGCTATTTAGCTTTTTGACTACTTTAGCCTGGCTAAAATAAATGTGTTTGGGAAGTTCGTTGGCTTTTTTTTGTAGTTGATTTTATAGTTGTGAGAGAAGAAGTGAAATAATTATGGATTAGATGTAACATTTCGTCTTACCCCATATATAAAACAGTCAAAACTCACCAGGACTAGTTCAATTGTTTTAAACAACCAGATTTGATAGTCTTTCAGAAAATCCAATAAGAGAATCAATGATAGAGATAATATTTTCTCAATCTGATAAGAGTAACAAGGAATATCTAGTGACTTCACCATAAATATCCATCCTTGTGCAAGATATAGTTTAAGAAGGCTAGTAGTTAAGATCAATTGCAAAAGTAGGTTGCTACAGACAGCAATTTGTACTATCAACTCAATCGAACCATAGTCCCAACTGAATCCCAAGACCAACAAAAAAAAGAAAAGGATCAATGAAGAAAGCTGACCTCAAGAATCATTTCCTTGTTTTATCAAGAACTTCAATGTATCTCTTTGGGACACCATACTGCTCAACCAAATGTCTTCCAAGATCATCAATCACACCCCCTTGAATCAGAACTTCATGTCCTTTCTTACCTGAACAACAACAACAAAAAAAAAAGAAAGAAGGAAAAGATGCAACAGACAGCTTTAAAAGTAACACAAAAATTATACTACCTACGTACCAATACAACCACCAAAAAATAAAATGAGAACCACTGAGTTCATTATGGCCTAGGACCCAACCAAAAAGGAAGTTTGAAAGGACCCCGTCCAAGTCAACAAAAGACTTTAGTGTTTTGCCGATTGAAAAAAAAAAAAAATTTAGTGTTTCTATGCAACTAAATGTATCAGAAACATTTAGTGACCATCACAAAATAGTCAATGAAATCCACAAAAAATTTGTGGTAGGCTGCAGAGAAAACATGCTACCAAATAGTTAATTTACAGCAAAGAGAAAACAACAAAAAGGAAGACAGAGAGAAGATTGAGACAAAATGAATGGCTAATGAGAGAAACTCAAAATTTTGGTTTATTTCCCTTAGACCCATAAATTTAAATTAATATGGTTCTAAGTTAAAACATACCCCCGAGGCTACTAAACAACTAAATAAAGCATAAATTACAACACTCATTCTCAAGTTGGTACAAAGATATATACCATATACAGTACAGACACATGACACGACATGCACCACACTAACACACTGACATGATAATTTTCAAAAAATAAAAAACATGACATGCGGGAGACACGCAAAAACATATGATTTTATATATGTACGAATATTTCATTCAAAGTTAATAAGAATATACAACATAATACAAATTTTTATAGGTAAAAATCTACATTTTTATTTTATCACTAGACCCTAACCTAAGTTATTTTTGTGCAAACTTGTAGTGTGTTTCATGCTAAGAAGCATAGACATAGACGTGACAAGACACGGACATGGATACGGACACATGAACATGAAAGTTTTCCAAAAATGCAGAACATGACACGCTACACATGAAAAACGTATAATTTTATATATTTATTCTACATCAAATTTTTTTTTCTAATCAAATTCATCGACTTTGGGTAATGCTCGTGGCAATTTTTTCTTTTTCTTTTTTTATAAAAAAAAAATGGGGCACTGTGTGTCCCCCAACTTGTCCAACTAAAAAAGATTGAGATACTTCCTCTAGCATGTCCATCATCACGTGCCCAAAGAATGTAAATGCTATATTATGAACTGCAACGAAGAAGACTAAAACGAGTGTACACACACATCCATCAAAATTTACGCATTTCAAAAGAAAGGGTTGATAAGATGGCATACCAGGTAGTTTTGCCACGGATGTACTACAAGCGAATTTCTTCTGCAGCTCTGACGCCAATGCTTCAGCATCCATCAAAAATGACTCCATCCCCGAGAGTTTTGTTACTTTCTTGTTACCTTGTCTCCGCTCTGTCATTATTTGAATTGTTTTCAGAGCACCTTTGCAGACAACTGACTCACTTCCCCTAGTAACTCTGTGATGAGGTTGCATTCGGTTTACAAATGTATGCCCTAAATCCTTCTTATGAATTTCAGTTGGGTAAGTTGAGCCTTTCTTGATGGTTCCTTTGTACAAAGCATCACATAGTGCTGCATCCAAAATCACAATTGACTTATTTGTTGGTTTGACTAGATTTTCTTGTTCAATGTACTTAAAGACAATATCAGTGGCTTCTGATGCACTGTAAAGTTTCGAAGTATCAGTTCCCACAGAAGCAAAAATTGGATTAACATGCACACTTGGTTTATAGATCTCCGTCAATTCCAATACTTTATGCAAACTTCCTTCACTGGTACTGTGAACAGTTTGCTCATTTTAGCCGCACGTGCGGTCCAAGCTGGAAAAAATGATGTGCTTCGTTTTACGTGCTCGACCTTTCGATATTTTTGAAATCTGTATTTGATGCTTTCTGATATGTGTAAAATTCATTTGAAGCGAAATGAGTCAAGAAATGATTCAACAAAGAAAAAGGAACTAATTGGTGAGTTATGTATGTGTGCAGGGCACACTCCGGGAAGGACTAACACTCCACCACAGCACTGTGAGTAGTAGTACGGAGATCGTACATTTACTTACTGGTAATGATTCTTATTCTTAACACTTTGTTCCTTACGAGTAATTATATTAACATTTATGCTGATTGGAGATCGGTGTGAATGTATGGGAACGTTGAAAGACTTGTGTACATCAGTATGACTCTGAAACTAATCTGCATTCCAGTTACGATTAATGGTTGTCGATAATGTGCCACAATCTGTAAATTATCTATGTCTCCGCATGAGAATTTCATACGAATTATGAACGTTGGATTAATTTAAAGATAAATCTAACTAGGTTCAGCATGATAAAAGGTGACTTGTGTTATACAAAAACAGGAGGGAAGTGTTTTAAGAGAATTGTTGTACTGTGTTCTGTATTCGGGCGTTAATACTGTAGAAGTGGTTAACAGGGAGAAATGGTAAATGTAAACCCCGCTTACTGGGAACATGATATTCTGAATGGCCTATCAAAGGCTACTACAGTTTATTTGGCTCAACATATGTTTTATGGCATAAATATCTACCCAGAGTGGATCATCAGAGTGAATAATTGGATAAGATCACGGGTTGTTTTATACGTTAATAACTGTTAAGAATTATGATAAACATCGGATTGACTTACGAATGACTCAACCTGAAGACAGAACTAAATATCAATGACATTGTCATGTAACTCACATTATGAGGTAAACTGTTCTGTCTCTGTTAAGTGTATCGTAATGACATGATATGACAAGAAGTACTCTATTTTCTGATATATTACGTTTTGAATCAACGAATGATTGGTCATACATGTAAAAGTATTCATGGCATCCTTAGCACAAGGCCCTTACCCAGGGGTAATAATATCGTGGTCTTATGGCCCTTGCCCGGGGGTAATAATACCATGGTTCAAGTATGTTACAAGTTCCCGGTACCGGACTGATTTGTTAGCGCTATTGGACGTACCATGTATAATCAAACATGAATTCTGATTTTTGTTTATGATTCAAGCATCATTAAAAATATGTATGCATATGTTTCTGTTTATCCGTTCCATTTACGCTATGTTATGACATGATATGGATTGACCGGTCTTTAAGACCTATTGATTTCTCTGGTATGGAACAAAGTGTTGTACGGAACTAAGTGCTGCCATGCGAGTCACCTTTAAAATCTGTACGAGACACCTCTTGAGTCCATACATATGTGAACTGAGGCCTATGGCCGTTTTGTGAAAGTTATGAAGCTGTGACATCTGGGCCTATGGCCATTCTGTATGATCTGTTAGTATGAAACAAAGTGCCCGTTTGGTAGAGTTGTGGGAAAGTGATTATAACTTATAGCCTAACAGCTTATAACTTATAACTGTGGTCCAAGTATTCAAACCCTAATGCATGAGAAATTGTAAGTGAACACCATAATTATTTATCTGCCATCATGCAAGAGGGTTCGAATAAGTTTCTGAGTGAGCGAATTGTAATGCATGAGAAATTGTAAGTGAACACCATAATTATTTATCTGCCATCATGCAAGAGGGTTCGAATAAGTTTCTGAGTGAGCGAATTGTAATGCATGAGAAATTGTAAGTGAACACCATAATTATTTATCTGCCATCATGCAAGAGGGTTCGAATAAGTTTCTGAGTGAGCGAATTGTAATGCATGAGAAATTGTAAGTGAACACCATAATTATTTATCTGCCATCATGCAAGAGGGTTCGAATAAGTTTCTGAGTGAGCGAATTGTAATGCATGAGAAATTGTAAGTGAACACCATAATTATTTATCTGCCATCATGCAAGAGGGTTCGAATAAGTTTCTGAGTGAGCGAATTGTAATGCATGAGAAATTGTAAGTGAACACCATAATTATTTATCTGCCATCATGCAAGAGGGTTCGAATAAGTTTCTGAGTGAGCGAATTGTAATGCATGAGAAATTGTAAGTGAACACCATAATTATTTATCTGCCATCATGCAAGAGGGTTCGAATAAGTTTCTGAGTGAGCGAATTGTAATGCATGAGAAATTGTAAGTGAACACCATAATTATTTATCTGCCATCATGCAAGAGGGTTCGAATAAGTTTCTGAGTGAGCGAACCCTAATGCATGAGAAATTGTAAGTAAATACCATAATTACATATATGCCATCATGCAAGAGGGTCCGAATAAGTGTCCAAGTATTCAAACCCTAATGCATGAGAAATTGTAAGTGAACACCATAATTATTTATCTGCCATCATGCAAGAGGGTTCGAATAAGTTTCTGAGTGAGCGAATTGTAATGCATGAGAAATTGTAAACAACCACCATAATTACATATCTGACGTCATGCAAGAGTGTCCAAATAAGTGTCCAAATAAGTGTCCGAGTATTCGAACCGCAATGCAAGAGAAATTGTAACTAGCCCCCATAATTACATATCTGCCATCATGCTAGGGGGTTCGAATTAGAGTCCAAGTATTCGAACCCTAATTTGGAGAAATTGTAAGTAAACACATAATTATTTATCAGCCATCATGCAAGAGGGTCCGAATAAGTGTCCAAGTATTCGAACCCAAATGCATGGGAAATTATAAGTAAGACAATAATTACATATCTGCTATCATACAAGACGGTCTGAATAAGTGTCCGAGTATTCGAACCGTAATGCATGATAAATTGTAAGTAAACACCATAATTACATATCTGCCATCATGCAACAGGGTCTGAAAAAGTGTTAGAGTATTCAAACCCCAATGCATGAGAAATTGTAAGTAAACACCATAATTACATATATGCCTTCATGCAAGATGGTCCAAATAATTGTCCAAGTATTCAAACCCTAATCCATGAGAAATCGTAAGTAAACGCCATAGTTACATATCTGCCGTCAAGCAAGAGGATCCGAATAAGTGTTCGAGTATTCGAATCCTAATGCATGAGAAATCGTAAGTAAACACCATAATTACATATCTGCCATCTCGCAAGAGGGTCTGAATAAATGTTCGGGTATTCGAATCCCAATGCATGAGAAATTGTACGTAAACACTATAATTACATATCTGCCATCATGCCCAAGGGTCTGAAAAGTGTCCTAGTATTCGAACCTAAATGCGTGAGAAATTGTAACTAAACACCATAATTACATATCTGCCATCATGTAAGAGCGTTCGAATAAGTGTCTAAGTATTCGAACCATAATTTGGAGAAATTGTAAGTAAACACCATAATTAGATATCTTCCATCATGGAAGAGGGTCCGAATAAGTGCCTGAGTGTTCGAACCGTAATGCATGAAAAATTATAAGTAAACACCATAATTACATATCTGCCATCATGCAAGACTGTCCGAATAAGTCTCCGAGTATTCGAACCCTACTGCATGAGAAATTGTAAGTAAACACTATATTTACATATCTGCCATCATTCAAGAGGGTCCGAATAAGTGTCGGAGTATTCGAGCTCTAAAGCATGAGAAATTGTAAGTAAACACCATAATTACATATCTGCCATCATGCAAGAGGGTCTGAATAAGCGTCCAAGTAATCGAACCCTAATGCATGAGAAATTGAAAGTAAACCCCATAATTACATATCTGCCATCATGCAAGAGGGTCCGAATAGTGTGTCCGAGTATTCAAAGCCTAATGCATGAAAAATTCTAAGTAAACACCATAATTACATATTTGCTATCATGCAAGAGAGTTCGAATAAGTGTCTGAGTATGCGAATCGTAATGCATGAGAAATTGTAAATAAACACCGTAATTACATATCTGCTGTCATGCAAGAGTATCCGAATAAGTGTCCGAGTATTCGAACCCCAATGCATGAGAAATTGTAAGTAAACCCCATAATTACATATCTGCCATCATGCTAGGGGGTCCAAATAAGAGTCTGAGTATTCGAACCCCAATTTGGAGAAATTGTAAGTAAACACATAATTACATATCTTCCATCATGCAAGAGGGTTCGAATAAGTGTCCGAGTATTCGAACCCAAATGTATGAGAAATTGTAAGTAACACCATAATTACATATCTGCCATCATACAAGACGGTCTGAATAAGTATCCGAGTATTCGAACCCTAATGCATGAGAAATTGTAAGTAAACACCATAATTACATATCTGCCATCACGCAAGAGGGTCTGAATAAGTGTTAGAGTATTGGAACCCCAATGAATGAGAAATTGTAAGTAAACACCGTAATTACACATCTGCCATCATTCAAGAGGGTCCAAATAAGTGTCCAAGTATTCAAACCATAATCCGTGAGAAATTGTAAGTAAATGCCATAATTACATATCTGCCGTGGGGCAAGAGGGTCCGAAGAAGTGTTCAAGTATTCGAACCCTAATGCATGAGAAATTGTAAGTGAACACCATAATTACATATCTGCCATCACGCAAGAGGGTCCGAATAAATGTCCGGGTATTCGAACCCCAATGCATGAGAAATTGTAAGTAAACAGCATAATTACATATCTGCCATCATGCAAGAGGATTCGAAAAGTTTTAGAGTATTCGAACCCTAATGCATGAGAAATTGAAACTGAACACCATAATTGCATATTTGCCATCATGCAAGAGGGTTCGAATAAGTATCCGAGTATTCGAACCACAATTTAGAGAAATTGTAAGTAAATACCATAATTAGGTACCTTCCATCATGGAAGAGGGTCCGAATAAGTGTCTGAGTGTTCAAACCGTAATATATGTGAAATTATAAGTAAACATCATAATTACATATCTGCCATCATGCAAGAGGGTCCGAAAGAGTTAAATTTAAAGGATCTTTGTCGAGCTTAATTTGAG